GGCTAAGTTCATTGCCGTCCTTATTGTCATCAGTTTTTTGTTTGCTACTCAATTTTCCAATGTAAAGTTGCTTATGACTATTTCCCTTCTGTTATTATGTCAATCGATTAGACTCATATAGTTATGTACTCTTTTTTTTTTCAGGCAAATGAATTAGAAAATTCATCAGAACCAATCCACAAGGTATTCATAAAACTTAATAAAATCAATAGAAAATAAATATAGCAGAAATAAGAGGAATGTATTTTGCAAATGATATAAAAATGTATTTATCATTTTTATTATTACAAAAACTATTTTGCAGGAAGGAGGAGAAGGTTCACTTCGTATTGGAGGTAATTTAGTTTTAAAATGTTTTATTATTTGAATGAACTGAAAAATATCAAACGGTATATTAACTTTGTTATTTATTTAACGATGGTTTATATTTGTGTGTATAGAATGTCCGGCGGCATGTAATGTTCGATGTTCAGCAACATCACACAAGAGTGCATGTCTGACGTATTGCAACTTATGTTGTAAGAAATGTTTGTGTGTACCATCGGGAACATATGGACATAAAGAAGAATGTCCTTGCTACAATAACTGGAAGACTAAAGAAGGTGGACCAAAATGTCCTTGATCATAAAAAAAAAAAAAAATTGTATGTTTTGTGTGTTTATTTTGACGAAGTCTATGTGTACGTCTTCTTCTGGTGATTTTGATATCTAAAATAAAATAAAACAACTTTTATTTAGGAAATAACATAGATTTTTTTTTTTTTTTGGTACTGTTTTCAAATCGAGATTACAATAATTTTAATACACCGAATTTTCAGAAAACACTATAGAAACATAATTATGTGTTATATATTGAAAAAAAAAATACAATAAGAAGTGAATTTGCCAATAAATTGTTAATTCTGTAATTTTTTTTTGCTCTTTATTCGATCGATTTTGTTATGATGCGAATTGTATGTATAGGTAGCATCTCTTTGCTAGGCTGCCAATTGCATATTGTTACGTGCTTTCGGCAATGACCGAATTTAATTTTGACAAACCGAAATTTAGACCAGTTTCTCTCAAACTGAAAGAAAAACAAAACCAGGTTCGAACCGAACCAAACCGAAGTCCAGGCCTAGAAAATTCGAAAAAGGAATTCCAGAAATGATATATTATTAAAATATATATGTAGCGTGTGCGTTTGTTTCATCAACCTTGTTCCTTTCGTCATTCATCGGAGATCTCTCCGGCCGGATCGCGGATTTCTCTGCTTAAAGCTCACCATGACTCATATCCTTGACTCGATCCGTTCGATTTCAACTCTTGTTCCAATCTTTTTTCTTACCTCGAGTTCTGGATTGTTCGATTCCGATACTCGCTTTCTCTTGAATCGTTTTTTGCGTGTTCTACAAGCCTGAAAATGCCACAAAATTGTAGGGTTTTGTTCTCGGATTCGCAATTTTTCATTGATTTCTCCGTGTGAATCGCATTTTTATTGTTTGGTTTATTAATTTCTATCATCTGGTTTTGAAGTTGTAGAAGACGGAAGCTTTCCGGACTATGAGGGGGTTTGCTAATTTCGTGTGTTAATTTCATCGATTTGATCATAAGAACCAAAACTAGTTTTGTTTTCTTTGATTATTTGGCTTTTTGTTCGAATTAGCACGAGGAAGCCAGAGAGAGCGAGACCGTGAAAGGGCACAAGCCCGTACCGGAGGCAAAGGAAAGAACAAAGACGACGGATTAACTCCCGAGCAACGCCGTGAAAGGTAAACCGATATATTTGCTCTCTTGAAATATCGGAATGAAAATGATTCCATTTGTGTTTATGATTAAGGGATGCGAAAGCTTTACAAGAGAAGGCTGCAAAGAAAGCTGCTCAAGCTGCTACTTCCGGAGGAGGCAACAAAGGAGATAAGAAATAATAAATCAATGGCTTCAAATGTATTTGTAATATGCTTCTTTCTTTCAATTAGCGCCATTGTTTCTGTGTGGAAGTTTGATTTTGAATGTGAAAGTTTGATGTTTGTGGTGAAATATGTTGTTTTAATTTGATAAGACTTTTCGAGAATCCATATGTGTTTAACCTCTAGAAAACATTAGAGAGTAGATTACCGAAAGTTTATGTGTGTCTAAGTTCTTGTCCTTAATTGAGATAGATCTTGTCATTCTTGACTTGTTCATACTACTGGTCAAGGGGATGTGATTACAGATTTGAGATTACTTTTTACGTCTGATGGGTTTTGGTGATATTGATTTTGGATGTACA